GCCAGTGGCACAGAAGATCAGCAACAAGCAGTTCAGCCTGGTACATCCCCTTTTCTGCCCTGTGCAATACCACACGTTTCTTTCTCAGCTGTCTCTGTCTCCCCTCCATTATGACAGCCTCCTTTCTCCCTCTTCCCCTCTCTTTCCTCCCCTCTCTCTGGCTTTGGCAGCCACCTTCCTTCTCCTTCTCTCCTGCTCTATTCCCTACCAGAGGGAAGGGGTACCCTGCGGTGCAGCTGGTCTCAAGTGCCCAGCCCACCTAAAAGGTTGAGTTTCATTGATTTAGTGCAGGGATGCTCAACTTCTGGCCTGTGGGGCAGATCTGGCCCATAGCACCATGTTATCTGGCCTGTATAGCTCCCTATGGGTCTGGAAATTTTTTCCCCACCAAATTTTCAGGCCCATGAGGAACCCTAAGGCCTGCACAGTGGATATGGTGCCTGATCCAAGTATGCAGGGCAGGCTGGGGTGGCACAAGTTGTATGTCAAACTAGAGGCAAGGCTTTTCATATGGTCTCCTACAACTTTCTCACCAGCTAACTAAGGAAGTATGAGTTAAATGAATGGCTTGTAAGGTGGATATAAAACTGGCTGGATTGTTGGGCCCAAATGGTAGTAATCAATGGCTCAATATCTAGTTGACAGCTGGTATCAAGTGGAGTGCTCCAGGGTTTGGTCCTGGGGCCGGTTTTGTTCAGTATCTTTATCAACCATCTGGCTTGGACCAACTGGCTGGGCAGCACCTCTGCCGAGAAGGACCTGGGGATTACAGTGGACAATAAGATGAGTATCGGCCAACAGCATGCCTTTGTTGTGAGGAAAGCTAATGGCATACTGAGCTGCATTAATAGGAGTGTTGCCAGCAGAATGAGGGAAGTGATTATTCCCCTCTGACTCTGGTGAGAGCACATCTGTAATACTGTTGTCTAGTTTGGGGGCCCCACCACAGAAAGGATATGGACAAATTGGAGAGAGTCCAGTGGAGGGCAACAAAATGGTTAAGGGCTGAGGTTCATGACTTCTGAGGAGAGTCTGAGGGAACTGGCCTTATTTAGTCTGGAGAAGAAAAGACTGAGAGGGGATTTAATAGCAGCCTTCAACTACCTGAAGGTTACTGACAAAGAGGATGGAGCTAGACTGTTTTCAGTGGTGTCAGATGACAGAACAAAGAGCAATGGTCTCAGGTTGCAGGAAGGGAAGTTTAGCTTAGATTTTAGGAAACGCTCTTTCGCTTGAAGTGGATAGTAAAGCACTGGAACAGGCTACCCAGCGAGGCTGTGAAATGTCCATCCTTGGAGGTTTTTCATACTTAGCTAGGCAAAACCTTGGTTGGGATGATTTAGGTGTGAATGGTCCTGCTTTGAGCAGAGGGTTGGACTAGATTACCTTCTGAGGTCCCTTCCAACCCTATTTTTTTGTTTCTTTGATTCGAAGACCACTGGGGCAGGAGGGGGTGGCACCAGGCCCCCAACCCTGGGCTGTGGTGAGGGGCAGGGCAGGGCAGGGGGCAGTGCTGGGCCCCAGGGCCTGATCCTGGAATTCAGGGCTTAATCTGGCCACAGGGCCAAAAGGTTGCGCATCAGTGCATCAAGAATCTCAAGAACTTGCATTGATTTTTGATCTGGAAGTGTCTGGGGTATATAAATTAGTATGTACATGCTGTGTTCTTTTTTGGGTATGAGCCTAACTGTCTTGTCATAGGCAGAACATAGACTAATTTTTTACTTCTGTTGAACTTGATTGTGGTAAGCCAAAGACCTGGAGATTATACAGTTTTAGTTTCCAGCCAATAGATGTATATGCTTGCTAAATATAACATTTAAATTTGCTGACTAGCATAAAAATGGTAGCAGTTCCCAAAACCTCCCTAAAGTTATGTGGTAGTAATCTGCTGTATTGCTATGTGGAGAAGAAATGAACATTTCTTAGCTACCTAGTAGTGTCTGTCTACCTTCTGAGGTTAAGCACTCATGGGCAAATCAAGAAACCACATAAATTTAGGTGGCATATTAGGAACAGCTTTCTGAAAATATGAGGCTGGTTAAGTACTGAAACAGATTGGCTGGAAAAGTTGTGGAATCTCTATCGTTGGGAGTTTTTAAGTTCAGGTTAGACAAACTTTTGTCTGGTATCATTGACATGACTCAAACAAAGGGTTGCACTAGATGACCTCCTGAGGCACCTTCTAGCTCTTTTTTCTGTGTTTCTATGAAATTTATAAGCAGATGGTCTGACCCATCCAATTTTTTTGAAGTCGCTAGCAAATTTAGCAACCCCCATAAACATACACCCTCTTTATAGTTGGCATAGTAAGTACATTACCTTGGTAGCTGTGTTAGAAAGAACAGTCCCAGACAGGTTTAATATGAGCTGCAGTGTTGTTAAATAAGTTTGGTATGTAGAACTAATTATGCTTACTCTTTGTAACACTTCTACTACCATTTGAACAATAAAGTTGTGAAATCTGATGTATGTTGTGGCTTGAGGGAGAAGGCAGAATAGAGTGGCACCTTAGACCACCTCTACATGTTACATGTATTATACAATTACCAATTAATTGATTAATTTAGACTGGCTACATATATAAATTAACTATGGCACCATAAAAAGGCCCAGCCAGCTATAAAATTATTGCTGGAAAATGCATAATAACCTTATAGCTGGTTTCTGTCCAGCTTTAATTTCCACATGTAGCCTGTGACCCCATGGCTGGGAGCCCCGTTAGCTCATAGGAGCTGCTGGCTGTGGGCCAAGCCTGGGAGCTCCCAGCTGATGCTGGCTCCCAGTCATGGGAGAACATGTTCCCATGGTTGAAAGCCCCATCGGATGGCAGTGTGCCCAGCTGCAGGGGTGCACTGTGCACCCCTGTGGTTGGGAGATCGCAGTAGCTATGATGTCCCAGTCGCAGAGGAGGCTCCCAGCTGCAGGAACTTGCTTCCTGCACCAGTGATAAGGCATGATGGGCTCTGATTCACAATCTCACAGTCAGACGTCCTGCTATGCATGTGTAGCATGGCAGGAGCTGCAATTGTGTGGAACATATATTAGATCCCATCACATCTTTACCTACATGTGTAGAGGGCCCTTAGAGAATAGCTAGTTCAGACAGATATAAGTTTTTGTAGCTTTCTCAGATGCTCTAAATGGACTTGCAGAAAGCAAGGGTTCTAAATACAGGGGAATTTAAATACAAAAGATAGGCGGTGACAGTTCTGAGAGGTGGAGGTATGTTGAATAAGTCAATAGACACTTAACTTATTGAGGGACATAGGGGTTGTAAAAGCTAGTCAATGGCAGAAGAATCCAGAGTCAATAGTGAGACTATAACAGATGCTGGTTTGTGGATTCATAGTTTCGTAGTTATTAGGGGCTAGAAGGGACTTTACAGATTATTGGGTCCAGCCCCATTGACCTTGGGCAGGAAAGACTGCTGGGATCAGATGACCCCAGCAAGATGGGTGTCAAGATACTTTATGAAGATTGCCAGTGTGGATGACTGCACCACCTCCGGGGTGGAGCCTGTTTCAAACCCTTGGTACTCGACTTGTAGAGAAATTTTTCCTTATGTCTAGCCTGAAGCAATCCTCAGTCAGCCTATTATTTCTTGTCCTCCCCTGGGGGGTGTTGGTGACTAGATGCTCCCCCAGGCCCTGATGTACGCTCTTGATATACTTACAGGCTGCCACCAAGTCCCCTCTGAGTCTTCTCTTCTCTAGGCTGAACAGTTCCAAGTCTTTCAGCCTGTCCTTGTATGACCTGGTCTTTAGGCCTCTAATCGTGTGCGTGGCTCTCCTTTAGACTCTCTCGAGCTTTTCCACATTCTTCCTGAAGTGCAGCACCCAGAACTGGACGCAGAACTCCAGCTGCAGTCTCACCAAGGCTGAGTAGAGAGGGAGGATGACATCATTAGCCTTGCTCGAGATGCCTCGGTAGATGCATGCCAATGTTTGATTTGCTCTGCTAGCTACAGCATGGTGGCTTCTGTTCATTTTGTTGTCTATCACGACACCCAAGTCTCATTCATATGTGGCGCTAGAAAGCGTAGCACTGCCGAGCCTGTAAGTGTGTTGTGGATTATTTCTCCTCAGGTGGAGCACTTTACATTTGTCCATATTAAATGACATCAGGTTGAGGTCCACCCATCTCATGAGCCTGTCCAGGTCAGCCTGTATTGCCAGCCTGGTTTTGAGCATGACCACTCTCCCCCATAGTTCAGTGTTATCAGTGAACTTTGCTAGTTCGTTTTTAATACCCGAATCCAAATCATGGATGATTTCTAGTTCTGCAGTTTGAGTTTTGCCTTCAAGTCTCTATAGTTTTATTTTCTGAGTACAGTTACTCCGAGGTCAGTGATGTAGTGTGCAGGGCGGTTAGTGGTCTGCCATGGGCTTTTGTTTCTTTCTGTAATTGATGGCAAAATGGCATCATTTCATTGCTTTGTGTAGAGATCATCCTGTCTATCCAATGCAGACAGCATGGAGTCACTGTAAGTAGGTGATAACATATATGAGCAGGTAGAGGAACAAGTGAATGATCCTGGGCTGTTATAATTTGTTTGGTCAAGGGGTGATGTTATCTGTGCTGATGAGAGGGCACACCTGGCATCTGGGTCTGTAGTAAGGCCTAATGGCTTGGTGAGAATTGAAGTTAGTGTAGCCTTTGGGGGGGGAAAGACAGCCCTCCAACCTCAAATGATCTCTCTCCAGCAACATCCCAGGCTATCTTTTACATGTCCAAAGAGCAAAAGCTACCTAGCAGCTGTTTTTTGTATCCCAGCCACTGGAATCCCCTTTCCCTTTTGGTTCCTAGGAGGCAGAACAGGTGGCCTACATGGCTGGTTTTCATTGCACTGCCTTGCCCCAGCTAAGGCATTACTAATTTTTGTACAATTTCTCTGAAATATTATTAGTAATGTTCCCATTACTGCTAAAGGTATCTCCCTAACCCATTTTTGAATATTTGGTTTTCTCAAAGATAATGTATGTTGCATTTTGTTACAGGCCTTGGAGAGTGAGTTTGTTTCATGCCAGCTTCACCAGTGGATTGATCTAATTTTTGGCTACAAACAGCAAGGGCCAGAGGCTGTCCGATCCCTGAATGTATTCTACTATTTAACCTATGAAGGAGCAGTGAATTTGAGTTCGATAACAGAGCCTGTATTGAGAGAGGTAAGTGTTCATTAAAAACTGGAGGAAAAAAATCTTGCTTAAACACTGCCATTTTCATTCAATAAAGGATTCCAACTTTATCAGTAGTTCTTCAGATCTCTGATTTTCTGGGGAAGCTTGGCTGTAGACCAGTGAGGCCCAAGAGCTTCAAGTCCTGAATGTTAGTCACTAAATTTCACAAAACGTGTGGACGCTTCTGCAAATGGTGGTCTTAATCTCTCTCTGCCTACATTCTGGATGCATTAAAAACTAAAGAAAAAATAAGTGTGAAGTAATTGGTTCATTTTCATATGTACTGTTTGTCCTGTGTACTAAGTCTAAGATCTCATGAAAAAGTGTATGATGAATTTCTGTTTTATAATATATTCAAATTATGAGAATTTTTATATTTGACCTCTTCCTTAACTATTGTGTTATCAGCTTTGCAACCTTAATAACTTTCTTTTATGAACTTTCATACTCTTTTATACTCCTGTTATACTACTCTTTTATAACTTTCTTTTCATATGTAGCATACATAGAATTCCATATAACTATAGAATGATCTCCTTTATTCTTCTTTGGTCTTGCTATGGTGTCATATTAAAACTTAAAAATGTTGTATTTTATAGGAAAAAGGAAAATGATACATCTTAAAATGATAATACCCCATGTTAGTATAACAGAAATCATATATGTGGGAACAATTGCAGGATTAGGCAAAAATTTATTTTCTAAAATATTCCTTGGAACTCCTGCCAAATATTGCTTTGTGGATTTAAAAAGGTATAGCTTTTGTTAAAAATACAAAATGGTTCATGATGGACTTTGCTGCTTTTGTTCAGGACAGTAAATTTGAACCAAACATAATCATATGTATATTAACTATAGAAAAAAATGTGACTTTTATAACATGTTTTAAAATTAAAGACACTGAGAACAGATGTGGACAAAGACACTGTTCTATTAAAAAGCATAGCTAAATATAAATACCAGAAGGAAATATTCAGTTGAAGTGGAAAAAGGAATATTTGATTATGGAATTTCCACACTCAAGCATTCATTATAGAATTTAAAAATATATTAGGTTTTCAGTTTTGCGGTGTAATATTTATTGAAAGAGATATCAAAGCAGGGTCTAGTAGCCATTTCAATAAATAAATAGTTCCAAATTGCTACTTTACCTGCACATACAGAAAATCTGACCTCCAGGTGAAACTTAGCTAACAGCAAAATACTGCTGAAACTCATTATTTTTTTCATTTCAATAATTATATTTTTCACTGTACAATGACTAGGAAACACCTCGTTGAAAAGATTAGTTAGTAGACTCCTGAAGTAGCGCAAAGGTTTAAGAGTGTGGTGGAAAAAATCCAAATGTGATTCTATTGCTTGGGCTTAAAAATATTTATTTATTTTTAATTTTCATTGAAGTTAGTTTTGTTTTATATAGGATATATGAAATTTAGTTGCTATTAAGAATGGATCTTTTTCTAAAAAGAAAATACTGAATATGCTAAGACTGGTTGACATTAGTGGTACAAGAAATATGTGCTATAAATCTAATTTTTACCTTGTATTTCTCTCTTAGGATATTTTTTCTTCTAATGTTAACTTCCTAGTGGTTTATACGTGTAATAGAGAAGCATAAAAATAATCTTTCTGTAAAAGGACATTGAACAATGCAAATAACTGAAGAAAGAGTAATCAGAGTAACAGCCTGCAGCACATTAAACTTTTATGTAGTTTTTAATTTTTCAAGAACAGCTGCATTATCAATATAACTGTGATCCATGTTTACTTACAGTGTAGCCTGAAAAAATCATTTAGGAGCAAAGAAGTTAAAAATCTGTTTAAAACGCTGTTATTTCAGCTTATAGATAGATGTGCCCTTTGTATGAACACACACACAACAGCCTGTTCTCTAAGTAGGAGTCATGATTTTGTACTGGTTTTATCTGATGTAATCCTTGCAATTCTGGCTTGTTGACGACTGCTTTTAAGTTGCTTCATACTGTCTGCACCATAGAAGTGAGTGGCCTAAAAACAGGGGAGGGAAAGAAAAAATATCATGGTTAGGACCACAATGATGGAGTTGTTCAACAAGCATAAGAGATTGCTGAAACTTTTCTGCTCGAGTCAAAAATACATATACAAAAGATCAACAGCAAAATGAGTACTATCAATCAGTATTTGTTTTGAGCATCTTTGCTGTTTGAAGACTTCTCAGCTGCAAAATTTTCCTTAAATATTTTTCAGCAAGCCAAGCAAAAATATTTCTAATAATAAAAATCCTTCAAACAATTTGATATCCCTTTAATGTATCTTTATTTTGTGTAACATGTAATCTCTCTATTATACACACAGGCATTTGTAATAAAAATGCAGTGGCTGATCAGTTGTCATATGTGTATCAATAAGTGTGCAAAGAGAATTCATGAATGTCATCATCAATAGTGAGATATTCTGTCTTTAACTCATGAATGAAGATGAAAGCAATAAAAAAATCAGATTGTGTATATATCTGTGTGCTTAATCAGTCTGTATCTATGTGCTAAATGAATTTATCATGCACCTTTGACAGCTTCACTTTCTTCCTGCCTACTAATCCATCTCCCTGAGGACTTACACTAGCATACCCTATCCTTGAGCAGCTTCAATCACCTGCCAGTTTTGCTTTTAAATCAGGCTGCCAGAAAATGTTTCCTCCTTTTTGCCCTGAAATCATCATAGTCAAGGGGTCAGATGAGTTTCTGGTCTGGCAATTAACAATGTTTTTAGACACAAAAAGGTCAAATATTTTATTAATATACAGGACTAGAGTAAGGAGTTTTATGCTATTACAGGGAGGAACATTTTCAGTTTTTAATGGTTTAGAACACACTTTTTTTAAAAAGACATTTTTCTTTAAATCATAACAATTGTATTAAGTCACAAAAGGCTTTTAGGTCATGCAAGAATTTTAAAAGCTTCTGTAGTCTTGGAAATTTACAAAGTACTAAGAGTCAATAATCTCATGGAAATAAAGTATATTTAAATCACGGGAATATCTCTAAATGGCTTGTGTGAGAGAAAATATACACACCTTCCCAAGGCCACATTAGTAACTAAAAAGTAAGCCCGAAGTGTGTGTATTGATGGTGAATCCTCACATCTGGGTACTGGTAACCTGGTTCTTCATCAGAGGCCACACACAAAATAGTACTGGGAAAAAAACTGGGGAGGGGAGGAATTTAGGCTAATGCAAAATTTCCTCTGGTCTCCTAAACTGCTCCAACTGGCATCACTACTTTTACGGTTAGTCAGGTTACATATATTACAAGAAGGAAACACTGGTCTGGGTAGGAAAACTACCTGATTAAAACCATATTTTAACCTTTTTTTTCAGTTGAAAATGTAGAACTTTTACATCCCTTTATACTGCTGTGAACAATTTTTCCTGCCATTCTTTCTGCCTATGGGAATAAAGGAAGTGAAGTATTTTGAAAGGATCTGACTGCTGTAATAGAAATTCTTAAACTCAAATGCAAACCATGGGCCACATGCTACCTTCTGGCAGATAAACCCATGGGAGTGAAAAGCATGCATAATTTAAAGGCAAATCTCTGGTGGGGGTAGTGCAAGAGAGAGATTGAGCCAGGGCAGCAGGGGGAAAGGGGCCACAGCCAGGATAACGAAGAGATCTAGTGAATCTGCTGGCATGTCTTTGTACATCTTCCATTTTGCTCTCTTGGCTTCCCATTCTTCTAGCTGTTCGGTGTAACAACAGCGCAATTAACTTTGTCCTCTGTGCTCACTTATCTTTTCCGAAAGAGATTCAATGTAGAGGGAAGTGACTGCTTAGTGAGCCATTTGTATTTGCTCTGCAACATAAAAAATTTGCCAGAGGTAATGTTGCATTTAGTACCAACTCTTTGTTCTGTCTTGAATTGTCATATCTAGATCTGTGTCAAGATTTAACCTGGGATGATAGGGACAGCAGAGACTTCTGGCTGCTGGCATGCCACGTATCTTGCAGTCATGTGGCTGCAGTGGCAACTGTTATTTTTCTGCTCTCACCCGTGTTCCTCCGTGCTCCACTAAGTCAGCACTTGGGGCTCCTGACCTGGTCACCTCACCTTAGTTACGCTACTGCAGTAGTGTCCCACATGCATATATCTGTTCTGAAAAAGGGCTTCTTTGGTTTTTGGATGCAAGAGGAAGGTTGCCACACTTGTCTATCTAGATCTACTGATAGTAAATTAAAATTATGTTTTATTTTTTTTAATTAGTAATTTAAATAGTAGACCACTGTTCAACCTTCTGGCCAGACGCCACCAATGGGGGTAGTGTGCAGGGTTGGTCCTCAGGTACAGTCCGGCATGCAGGACCATGTCATCTGGAAATTTGGCAGTATGGGAGTGGCAGCAGCATTAATTGCTGTGGTTCTGGAAGCTGTGACTCTTAATTCTGCCATCACTCCCCTGCCACCAATTTCCAGACCCAGGAGGAGCCCTGCAAGCTGGAGGTCAAGCACTGCTGGTCTAGATACTTTTCACTGGTTTGATTAATTTTCCACACAGTATTTCCTTTGTTTTTACTGCAAATGTAGCTCTTTCCATAATGGCTACACAAGAATGAAAATAGCTGATTGAGTCTTTGCAATTGGCAACTAATCAAGAACTGAAACTTGAGAAATTGCACGAAGTCAGTGGAGAATTTGTTTGATTTAGATATTTCATGATTATATTTCCCAGCACATATCTCCTCAAAAAGCCCCCTTTAAATTGGTGACTGTATGAGGTAGTATATTTAGAGGAAAATAAGCTAATCCCCTTCCCAAAAGCTACTATGTATTATTACAGCACAGAAAATCAATTGCACTTAGATATTTTATTTGACATTGGTATAAGGATAAAAGATATTAAATACATATTGGAGAGCAGGAAAAAAAATGAAGGCTGCTGCTTTTCCCTTTCATTATTATGTTACTAAGATAGACATTAATTGTATCAACTCAAATAAAACTTAGGACTCTGTGG